CTTCACCTTGCATGTACCAGTTCGTGTCCCAGCTGCTCCACTTCCCATCTAGCTCTCTGCCTATGACCTGAGAAAGCAGCAGAGGATGGCCCAAAGCCTTGGGACCCTGTACCCGTGTAGGAGACCTGGAAGAGGCTCCCAGCTCCTGGCTGTGGTTCAACTCAGCTCTGGCCATTGAGACCCAGTGGGCAGAACTTTCGCTTTCTTCTCTCCTTAAACCTGATCTGCCTTTCCAATAAAAAGAAATAAATAAACCTTTCAAAGAAAGAACCGCTGTTTGGATTTAGACAAATTACTTCCTTTGTAGGCCTTTTCCTCATTTTATTTGAGCTGTCAGTACGCTTGCTCTGCCATTAGATGGCACCATCACACCTTTGAACCCTGTTCTCTGGGTTTTCAGAGTCTGAAGTGGGTTGGAGTCCAGAGGGCTCCCCCAGGTAACACCTGGGGACTGAGACTCAGAGGCCATCGACCCAGCCAGGGTTGTGCAGTCACCCGGCAGCGCTTGAACCTCAATTATCTCTGCCCTCTGTTACATTTGGGCGTAGCAGAATGATGACAGGAAAATCGGACAGACCCATTCTGAACCATTGCTACTACATTATACTTAAACCAATTTTTACCTTTTCCCTAAGTACACATACCATCACATCAGAATACTCACCTGTTTTTGTGTTGTTGTTGTGACTATTTATTTGAAAGGAAGACTTAGAGATAAAGATAGCTGGATAGGTAGAGATCTGCCCACTGGCTCACTCCCCGGAACGGCCCCAGTGATCAGGGCTGAAGTAGGTTGAAGCCGAAAGCCTGGAACACCGTCCTGGTCTCCCACTGGAGGTAGGTAGTTGCCCTGTGTCTTTGAAAAGAGATTTTCTTTTCAACTCTTCCCATCACCTGAGGTCAGCCACCTGTTTCTGTGCTTCCTTGGCTCCTGCCCAGCCTGTTGCAGAGAGCCTTTGGAGGAACATAAACTTCTACTTGTTAAAAAGTGGATTTGCAGGTTGCTCCCTCACTCCTTAGCTGTCCTGTTTCCCTCAACCCTCCTTCCCAGTGATGGGGGAAAATGTTGCCGTTGGTCATGGCTTGTGCGGGACAGGCTGCGGAGTAGAAGGCAGTGTGGCGGGGTGAGGACGGGCACTTAGGAGTCGGCCTGCTGCCCGGGCTCAGGCTCTCCTCCCGTTTCTCCGGAGGGCAGTGTTGAACCCAGCAGGGTTACTGTGAGCAGTGTCGTGGAAGGCTCGTAGCGCATGCTCATTTAGTGCTATGAATTTTCTCTGCTGTCTTATAAAGGGGAATAGGAGGAACCCACGGGAGGGTCTCAGAGAGGCTGGCTGCCTTTGGAGGGAGAAGGGAAGCACGGTAGCCGTTAGCCTCGTGTGGTAGCTCACCTTTATATGTGGCTGATCAACACCGAAACTTTCCGTCACCGTGGTACACACGTCAGGTGTCAAGGACTTGGTAATACACAAAAGAAGAATTTATCTCAGTAATTTGTGTCAGGTCCCATGGTGCAGTAACCGCAGTTTGAGTATGCGGGGTTAAAATGTGCTAAAATAAATTTCTCCTCCAAAGATTTCACCCAATATTTTTCACTTTTTAAAGATCTATTTATTTTTATTGGAAAGTCACATTTATACAGAGGAGAATAGACAGAAATCTTCCATCTACTGATTCACTTCCCAAGTGGCTGCAATGGCCGGAGCTGAGCTGACCCGAAGCCAGGAGCCAGGGACTTACTGCACATCTTCCACGTGGGCGCAGGGTCCCAGGGCTTTGAGCCAGCCACAGCTGGGAGTGGGAGGGCAAGTGGGGCTGCCGTGACATGAACTAACACCCATATGGGATCCCGGTGCTTGCCAAGGCAAGGATTTTAGCAACTGAGCCTTCACGCCGGGCCCCAATATTTTTACTTTTCTAAAATGTAGCTGCTTGGGGCCTAGCACAATGGCCTAGCAGCTAAAGTCCATGCATGCACTGGGATCCTTTATGGGTGTCCCTGTGGACACTTGCCATCCATCTCCCTGCTTGAGCCCTGGGTGGCGGTCATAGGGGACCGAGGAGAGGCTGCTGGCTCCTGGCTCGGATGGGCTCAGCTCCAGTCATCATGACCGCTTGGGCATTGAACCAGCTGACAAAAGATCTTCCTCTCTGTTTCTCCTCCTCTCTGTATGTCTTACTTTCCAATAAAAATAAATAATTAAAAAAAAAATGTAGCTCCCTGGACATATAATGAGCCTAACATTTTATTTCTAGCACCGGTCTAGAAATAGAGGTTTTGTGTTCAATCAAGCATATACAACTTTATTGTGTAGGGATGGCTGCTGTTGTTAAGGCTTTTTTTTTTTTTAAGATTTATTTATTTTCATTGGAAAGTCAGATATACAGAGAGGAAGATCTTCTGTCCGAACGATTCACTCCCTAAGTAGCTACAATGGCTGGAGCTGAGCCGGTCCAGAGCCAGGAGCTTTTCCGGGGCTCCCACGCGGGTCCAGAATCTCAAGGATTTTGGCCATCCTCAACTGTTATCCCAGGCCACAGGTGGGGAGCTGGATGGGAAGCAGGGCACCGGGATTAGAACCAGTGACCATATGGGATCCCGGCGCGTGCAAAGCGAGGACTTTAACCACTGCGCCATCGTGCCAGGCCAAGGCGGGGACTTTAGCCGTTACTCTGTCGTGCTGGGGTTTAGGCTTTTTTGATACTGCTTTACTCAGTGGTTTTATGTGCTTGGATGTTTGAGCATTATGAACCAGAGTGCCAACCATTATTATTAATAAATGTTTTTGAATAATTGTTTAAATAAATAAACAGTTCAAGGACATCAGATATTCTCACATGCCTGAGGTTTCAGTTAAGAAGCAGGGTTGGAATTGTTTAGTGATCAGCCACAAGCAATTAGAAGATCCTGCAGTGCTAAGTCAACAAAGACGCTGCAGGTTCCCAGTGAATTAGTTCTCTTCCATTATAATTGCATGTTATCAGCAGATGAAATCTGGCAGTTAATGATTCCAGGAATTTCCTTTCAGTGTAAGTTATTAAAACAATTGTAAAGATACCCAAGAGTAAAAAGAACCACAGTAACTGTTTATATTAGGTTAAATCATCTGTCTGATTTTTATTCAGTTTGTTTGGTTTTAAGATACTGGTTACAAAACATGAATTGGATTTAGTGCTTGAAGACAAACCAGTAATAATCCTACCAGCAGCCTAATTGGAGCTATCAGGTAATTGCTAGTTTAGATATCTATAACCTTTATAAAAGTTTTCCGTCAATTCTGAAATAAAGTTATATATTGACGTTACATGGGCTGACTTTTCTAACAACTCACAGCTCCGGGGAAATAGGGCGTGCTCTTGGCTGGTGCCGGAAACAGCCTACCAGGGCGCCTGCCTTGGGAGAGCCTTCCGATTGTTCTGGGCTGAACCCTGTCTGGTGGTCGCCATGCACAGTAAACTTGCACAGTAAACGTCATTTGTCGTGTCTAGGAAGCCAGCGATTGTGGAAGGCATCGTTAGTTTCGCGGTGTTGTCTACGAAGAAATGCTGCCAGGGAAACAAGTGTATTGGTTTTAAGATGCCTGTCTCAAAGATGTTAAGTGGTGGGGGAAGGTGAACCTTAGAATATCCAGATTTTGAAACTTTCCTTGTGGTTTTAAGTTGGCTTGTTTTGTGGGTTGCCATCGGACTGGGGCCCTCAGACAGCCATGTGTAGTGTGTGTGGTTTCCTGCCTTGCCGCCCTTTTCACTGATTCTATAAATAACCAGATGAAAGCGGAGTAGTGAGCTCGGCTTAAGTTGCCAGACGCCTGAGAGTTTGGAAAAGTGAATCTCCAACTTTCAGTTTCCACCTAGTTCCTCCCCACAGCCTCTAGACACCGTTCAGGCTTACGTGGCCGTCAAGCCAAATCTCCTTGAAGGTTCCTCAAAGTGTCAAGTGGCCCAGGGAGGGTTGTGTTCTCAGCTTTTATCTACACAAAACCTTTGAGGCTCACCATACGGAACACATTTTGTAGGAATGGCTTGGGGAGGAGACAGGCTCCTAGTGCGCAAGGCTCTGGGCAGATAGCAGAGCCACCTGGACCTGTCACTGCCTTGTCCTGGGCAGCAGTGAGAAAGTCCCTGGCCCTCTGCTGCCTCCTCTGCATGTGACAGGAAAACAAAGCTGCACTAAGTTCTCACTAATTTCATTGAATCTTTTATCAGTTTTAATCTCCGTTTTGATAGCGCCTATTGAATATTAAGGAAACTCTGATGTAAAGAGCTCTTTTGTAATGTGAATGCCTATTTTCCATTTTATCTGTTTTTAAAATCTCAGTGTTTACACATTTTATTGATACACGCCAGTCAGTGCATTCTGAGGTTCTGGGAAGCCTGATTCTGAGCCTGGGTTTTCGAAGTTAGTTTCAGGCACGCCTTAGCAGATTTAGGGGTGTATGAATTTAAAATGTTTTTTGCACCAAAATTTTAAATGTATCTCTTATTCTTATTGTTTTCATGATAGTTTAGCTCTTGGTTCAACTGGAGGACTTGTTGTCTAATTTGAAGAACAAATCAGACATTTTTCCCTGAGGTTCATAAGTGCAGCATCAACTGCTACTTTCTAAACTTTTTACATGGTGCTCAGTAAAAGTTCTTGAGCGATTCCAGGGTTATAATATCAAGCTCTAAAATTAAAACTTAGAATCAGAGTTTTCCATTGCATCTAAGGGATTTGAATAGAATAAAGTGGAGGGTCTTTTTTTGGCAGAGAAAATGCATTGTCCGTGCTTCCTCAGTGAAAGCTTTGCAATCATACATGCTTTAAGCATCACAATACCTTTGAAAGTTACATGGAAGAATTAATCTTATTGCCATATTTCCTATATTTTCTATAAGTGTAGGCAAGTATGTATTATTTAGTTTTGCATGCTTTAAAGTAGTGTATTTGTTGATGGTGCCTTAAATGATTTCCAGACTGCATCCCTTAGCTGTTTCAATGGCCTTGACTTTTGTCTTTGCAGCTCGGGGTGTGGTTCTCTCTGGGCTGTGCCTGTCTGGCCTTGGAAGACTACGGAGGTTCCGCAAAGGCATTTCAGCGCTGTGTGACCCTAGAACCCGATGTAAGTTTGTTTGGTCATGGGGGTTTGCTTGAATGCCAGAGAGAGAGAGAGAAAGCGAGATTTTCCATCTGCTGATTCATTCCCCAAATGGCAGTATCTTCCAGGGCTGAGGCTGGACTAACCAGGAGCCAAGAGCTTCATCTGGGTCTACTATGTTTGTGCATGGGCCCAAGCATTTTTTCCTAGTCCATTAGTAGGGCACTGGTTCGGAAGTGGAGCAGCCAGGACTTGAGCTGGCACCCATGTGGGCTGCCAGCATCACAGTCAGCAGTTTTACCTGCTAGACCATAGTGCTGGCCCAAGCTCTAATAACCTCTGACTTAATGGAATCATTCTGTATAGTTCAGAATAGTAATTCCTTTTGTTTTGGAAGAAAATAAATACTTGGAGAAAGGTCAGACCTCAAGCAATATGATTTTTTAATATAATAGCCATGTTAATCAGGATTTTATTTAGGAAAAAGTTTTGATAAAATGGTTTTTAAAAATATGCTTCAGGGCCTGGCGTGGTGGCCTAGTGGCTAAACTCCCCACCTTGAATGCTGAGATCCCATATTGACTCCGGTTCTAATCCCGGCAGCTCTGCTTGCCATCCAGCTCCCTGCTTGTGGCAATCGAGGACGACCCAAAGCCTTGGGTTCCTGCACCCGTGTGGGAGACTGGGAGGAAAGTTCCTGGCTCCTGGCTTCAGATCGGCACAGCTCCGGCTATTGCAGTCACTTGGGGAGTGAATCATTTGGACGGAAGTTCTTTTCTCTCTCTCCTCTTCTCTGTATATCTGACTTTGTGATAAAAATAAATAAATCTTTAAAAAATAAATAAAAATATACTTCATTAAGTAAATAGAAGTTCAAGTTTTTCATTTACTTGTTCTACTTATATTAATTCTTTTAGAATAGATACTAGATTTTTTTTTTTTTTACTTTTTTCCCCCTTTATGTTGAAATGACTATGTGACAGTTCCCTCTCTTTGTTCTAGTAAGATAGTATCTTTAGAAACACATTTGCCTGTTTATTTTAATAGTTGACAGAGAGAGAAGGAAATCTTCCATCTGCTGATTCATTCCTCCAACCGGGGTTGGGCCAGGCTTAAATCAGGAACCCCCTTGGTGCCAGGTGCCCCATCACTTTTAGGCCATCTTCTGCTGCCTTCCCAGCTGCGTTAGCAAGAATCCAGGGTTGGAAGCAACAAAGCAGGGACTTGGATGGGCACATTATGGGATGCTGGTGATGGCTTAATCGGATGCGCTACAGAACCAGTCCCTGTGAAGATAGTGTTTTATGCTGACTGATTTTAGGTATTACTCTAATCATGCATTACATTCCTGGGATAAATTCCACTTGATGATAGTGCAACCCTTTTAAACTGCTGCTCAATTTGATTTGGTAGTATTGTGTTAAAGATTTTTGTGTCTGTTTCATGAGGATTATGAATCTGCAGTGTTTTGTACTTGATTTTGGTATCAGGTGATACTGGTTTTAGGAATAAGTTAGGAAGTGTTCCCTGTTTTGTTGGAAAGTTTGTGGAGGATTGTATTAGTTCTTACTTTTGTAAAATTCACCAGCGAAGCCCTCCAGTGGTGTGGCTTGCTTTGTAAGACATTTTGATTTCTGATCAATCATCCTGTTTGCACATAACACATTTATTCAGCTTCTCTGTTTAATTTTAAAGAGCTCTGGGCGGCTGCTGGTGTTGTGGTAGAGCAGCTTCAGCCACTGTTTGGGACAGCTACATCCTGTGTCACAGTGCTAGCTTGAGTCACAGCTACTTCATGTCTAATCTGGCTTCCTGCTAAAGGAAAATCTCTTTGTGTCTCTCCCTCTCTGTCACTCTCCCTTTCAAATAAGTACAAACATTTTAAATTCATACACCCATAAATCTGCTAAGGTGTGCCTGAAACTAACTTCGAAAACCCAGGCTCAGAATCAGGCTTCCCAGAACCTCCGTTCTGTGGTTTGAACTTTATGCCTTGGATGATGCCTTACAGCTCTGCTCTCTGGCTCGTTCTGAGTGCCCTCAGCGTTTCCATTCAGGTTGCCCCTCTCTGGTGGTTGCCCCCCTCTGGTGGTTGCCTTGCCCCGGTACAGCTCAGTATTGACCTGAGCGCCCACTACGGGTGTTCATGGAGATGTCTGGGTTTATTCTCTGCACTATCTCCTTTTCCAGTTACTTTGTCTAATCTTTTCCCTTAACTCAGTAAGGCTTGCTGTACTTTAGTTTCTGCCTTTCTGTGACACAGCCCTGGAAGTGCGTATAGATAGAACGCTTGGTTGATTGTTGAGACAACATTCAAGCATCATACTCACGAACCATGTTGGCTAAGTTTTCAAAAAGAATTATTTCCTGTATCTTGCCCAGTTACTTTTTGTGGCAGGAGGAGTAGTGTGAAGTATCTTTCCCATGTCTGAAGTCCGGTGCCATTGACTTTTTAATTTTGTGTGTGCTACTTAAAAATTAAGCGAGGAAAGAAAATGAACCAATACAATTCATATTGTTCTTGTTAAAATCACCGTTTATATAAAATCTTTGTTACTGTGTTTGGGTAGAGGATGGGTAGAGAAATAGGTTTGAGAGTACTGGGGAACAGATTGTCACTTGATTCTTCTAGCTGATAAAAAAAGCAGAGTGGTTAAATGACAGAGCCTTTAAGAAAAGGAAAATAATAATTTACATGGCCTTAGATTTGTTATTAATTTGTATATTATGCAAATTATGTTGTAAATTGTCCAACTATGGTGCAAAACTAAATGCAAGAAATGAAACCTTGACTAAAATTCAAATTTGTGCTAAAATGGGTAGGTCATTGTATTGACTTTTTATCTTTGATTATGAAAGTCAAGTCTAAATTAAACTAAATTAATGTCATTGACCTTTAAGCATAGCTTACTAGAAATTTCAATTTTTTTTTTTTTTGAAATTGCAATTTTAATGAGCGTGTTTGTGACTAAGAATATATGTTGTATTTTTGGTCTCAGAAATTATTTCACCTATTTGGGAATAGTCAGTAATTGAATTGTCTCTCATTTCAGAATGCTGAGGCTTGGAACAATTTATCAACTTCGTATATCCGGCTAAAACAAAAGTAAGTGTAACAGATAAATATGAAGAAAATTGCTGCCAAAATCGCAAGATTTTAACCAATGAAACATTGAAACATTGTGCCTTCCTCTTAGTCTTTTTCCATTTATTTACTTATTTGAAAGGCAGAAGAGAAAGAATGACCGTTATAGCCAGGGCTGAGTGAGGTTGAAGCCAGGAACTTGGAACTCAGTGCTGGCCACCCATGTTGGTGGCAGGTGCAACAACTTAGGCAGTTACCAGCTGCCTTCCAGTGTGTGAATTAGCAAGAAACTGGAATTGAGAGCAGAGCTGGGACTCAGACCTAGGCACCCAAAGTAGGACATGGGGCATCCCAAGTGACATTTTAACCACTGTGACAAATTGCTTGTTGTAGTCCTTTGACTTTTAGTATGTGATAAAATAAGAAATATTACCTGAAATATTTATTCCATAGTAGTTTTCCATCCTAGATTTCATTACATGATAATGCAGTCATACTTTTGGTTGGAAAACTCAATTGCTGAATTTTTAAAAAGGAGGGCTTGCTCTATATTGGGTGTTATTGAGAAATGTACATAAATAGGAACCACACTTCAGGGAAAGTGTATTTAAAAGATAAGATATTATGCCATACTATTAGGAAATTGGTATTAACTGTATGTCAGAAATAGCAAGTGAAAGGATGAAGAGGGCTGCAATGGTAGTGGAGGATTTTTGGAAAGTTCTTACGTGCCAGATGCTCGTGTAGTCCTGTGAGGATACTGTGAGGGGAGAAGGTGAGTGGTCCTGATTCATGAATGCTTTTGAGGGAATGTTACACTGAAGCTAGAAATATGAGTTGGTTTAGACTTGAGGCGGTTAGAAGAAATAGATTAAAGGCTCAAGACAGTGCGCAGTGATAGGAATGACTGAAGTAGCTGAGGAGGCAGGGTGCAAAATAGTCCAGCTAAGATTAACACAAAGTCTATAATAAGAGATAAGGTTGGAAAGGTAAGTGGGAGTCACACTGGCCTGTTGGTTATCGGCAAACAAGACAGAGATTTCCACAGGGTACTGTCATGGAGAAAGAAGCCCTTTAGGAAGATTGACCTAGTGGCAGTGTGGGAGGCAGATTAGAGAGGAAAGGAGGCTGGGAAACCAGCTAGGAGACAGCTGTTGGAACAATCCAGGCATGAGATAACTAGAGTGGAAAAAGAAAGGGCAGATGCCAAACAGTTTATAAAGGAGGCAACTGACAGGGCTGTTGACCGGCTATGGAAAGCAAAGGAAAGGGAAGAGACAGGCTTGCTGCCGCCAGAGTTTCAGTAAATTTGTTGGAGAATGGATATGTCTCTATTTTTCTTTGGCCTTATTTGTGAAATTCAATTTTCTTTGTGGATCATAAAATTGTTTTGAAGACATCATTCTGTCCATGTATGCTGAGGTCAGGAAAAGTTTCTTTCTTCCTTCATGCAGTCTCCATAAATGAAGCGCTGTTTGTCCATGCTCTTGATTGCCACTGCTTGTGTTAAAGCTCACTGGGACCATTTTGATTCAAAGCAACAGGCAGGGCAGAGGCCTAACGGAGCTGTAGGATGAACTCAATCGGTTTTACTCTTAATTCAGAGAAGTTTGTGCAGTAGGCCTTGCAGACACTGTCTAGTCTTCCAGCCAAGGAATTTTACTTTCCCTTGTAGGGGTTCTTGCCTAGTGTTTTCCTTTTGATGCATTCTTTTTCTTGCAGGTGGCTAAATAGATTTTTTTTGTAGAGGTGAGCTGTAACCATCCTTCATCCTTGTCCTTTTACTCTTTCCTCTGCTGCTGCCAGCAGATTTTGACTCGTGAGATTCTGTGCTTCTCAAAAGAATCTTACTCAGGCCTTGAAGTGTCCCATTGTCTCTGTTATTACAAACTTCTTCATCAAGTGCTTTCTCCCTAGTTTCTTTTAATTTCTGTTATGTCTCATGTCCCTTCAATCCATTTTGTATATAGCATTCACAATATAATATCTCTACCATAATGGGTTTGGCAAAAAAGGGAGTCTTTATTTCATCCTTATTAAAAAGATATACTACTCTAAAAGGGAAAAATAAGTTATTGTCAAAATTTTGAGGTCAGGAAATTATGATTACAGAATAAAAGGACATACAGACCAGAAAAAAGATCATCTCCATGGTATGGGTTACTACTGTTAAGTTCTTTTCGATTAAAATAACTTCACCCCTACTCCCTGATGGATGGGAGAACTGAGGAGTCTCTGGGCACCACTGTTCAAGATAGTTGTTGTCGTGTGGGAGGGAGAAGAGAAAGGGAAGCAAAAAGCCCATAGAATCTACATATGGCTGAGTTTGAAGAATTGCTTTGAATTCTCTTTTTATTTTTGTAAGAGGAGTTTTTCGTTTTGTTTTAAGACTTGTTTATTTTCTTTTGAAAGATTTACAGAGAAAGAGCTTCCCTCCCCAAATGGATGCAATGGCCAGAGCTGAGCCAATAAAAAGGCGAGAGAAGCCAGGAGCTTCCTCCAGGTCTCCCATGTGGGTGCGGAGTCCAATGCTTTGGACCATCTTCTGTTGCTTTTCCAAACCACAAGTAGCGAACTGAAGGGACACGGAGCAGCCAGTACACAGAAACTAGTGTCCATATGGGATGCTGGCCCTTGCGGGTGGAGGCTTAGCCAGTTGAGCCATTATGCTGGCTCTGTAAGAGGAGATTTTTAATAATTATTTCAGTTATTATAGATGGTGAATCCTTATAGTCTTTGTTCATATAAAATTGATTTTGTATTTATTTTTGAGTGGTAGTTTAGCTGGTTATAAAATTTTAGGTTGAAAAAATACTTAGCATTTATATAAATATAAATGTGTATTTAGTTGGACTGGTTTTTTGGCACTGGTTAAACCATTGTTTTGTGATCCCAAATGGGAGTACTGGTTGGAATCGTGGCTGGACTGCTTCTTATCTAGCTTCCTGCTAATGTACTTGAGAAGACGCATGGGCGGGAGACCCAGATGGAATTTCTGGCTCCTGGTTTTGACCTGGTTTATCCCTGGCTATTGGCATTTGAGGAGTGAACCAACAGATGGACAGTCTCTTTCTCTTCCTCTTTTTCTGTTTTTCTGTATTTCTGTCTTTCACAGAAATACTTTGTGTGCATGTGTATGCATGTGTATTTTATCTTTTATTGCTGATGAAATATATGCTGTTTTCTAACTACTCCTCCTTTGCAAGTTTTAGGAATATACTCTACAAAATCAAAATAAAAAAGAAAAATAATAAAATTGTGTTCTGCAGATTCACAAAATGTTTCAACTACTTGGTTCATCTTTATAATATTTGATATGGAATATACTTTTGATTATAGAATTTAAATCTTTGTCCATTCTGGAACATGTTCAGCTGTTATATCTTTTCAGTATATAACATTCTGACATAGTCTGCATTCATTTACTGTTAAAGCTGTGTCAGATATGTTTGAGCCTTACTTCTTTTTTTTTCTCCTTATCTTTTATTCTTTTATCTGAAGTTTGTGTTAATGCTTCAGTTTTTTCAGTTCATGCACTAAGTTTCTATTTGCTTATGTGCAGGCCAGTTTGGACACCTGTTGAGAGTTTTATTTTAATGTCTCTTTTAATACTAAAATTTTCAGTTCATTTGTATTTCCATCTCCTTGTTTCATTTCTGCCTTGTTTTGTTTTACAATTTCTGTTCCTTTTAAATGTAAATTATTTATCTCTTTGAGTATTCTAAACACACTAGTTGAAGAAGAATTTCATAAGTTGTTCCTTGAAATTAGTGTTATCAGTAATAAATGTAGGACTGTCCTTCATGGCATAGATTTTATTCCCCCTGCTACAGGTGGTGGGAGATTTGGTGTGTAGATTCATTTAGAATATGAGGAATTTTTGTTCATTTTGACCTCTTCCCTTCGGGTTCCTCCTCTAGTGCCGTGCTCATTCCTCTTTGTCTTGCAGGTTTGCAGGTGAGCTTGGCCATCGCACTCCAGCCTGCAGACAGTCCGCGTTTGCATTTGATACAAACCCCTAGCTATAGTTTAATAACAAACAGTAAACTTGCTCTCTGTAAAATTTGAATTTCTTTTCTCCTTTTTTAATTTTTTTAATTTGACTGTCAATAGGGTAAAAGCTTTTAGAACTTTACAAGAAGCTCTCAAATGTAACTATGAACACTGGCAAATCTGGGAGAATTACATCCTCACCAGCACCGATGTCGGGGAATTCTCTGAAGCCATTAAAGCCTATCATCGGCTCTTGGACCTACGAGACAAGTACAAGGATGTTCAGGTAGCATATTTATATTTTACTTCAGTTTATATTTGACATTAACTCTCGCTTGTGTGAAATAAATTGTTCCCTTGAATATGCATAGGAGAATTTGGTAAGTCACATGTGATACATGAAAATAGTATTTTTGTTCTTGTCAAATATTCTGTTACATATTAATTCTGGAATTCCAGCATTAAGATGTTTTTGTGTGGTCATAAAGTTAGTGTTAGGGTGAGTCAGTTCTGAACATCTGAAATGTGGTTTACATGTATACAATCAGCTTGCAGAAACTTAGTAGAATGCTCTCTATGGTACTTATTCCTTTGGGTCTCTCAATTTATTCTGTGACTTGTAGTAGCTGGACTAAATCCCATGCTAATTTATTCACTTACGTAACAAGCGTTTTCTACATATTTTCAGATGGTGGGAAGGATATAGAAATGACGCCTAACATTTTATTTGCACTATTTATTGAGATTGTCCTCTTCTTGGTGTAATGAAGTTATTGTTTCAGCAAATTCAAGAGTTTTGGAGGAACAGTGTTGGGTTATCTGAAAGGTGGGAGAAAAGCAGCCTTTTGGGTGTAATTGTAGTTGCAGGCAAGTGTCTAAAGGTAGGACATATAGGAGCTTATTGGGTATGAAATAAGGCTAGGAAATCTTTACCATTTTACTTGCAGTAATTAAACTAAACTATGCTATTTAATGAATTTGGAATTATAGAAAATAAGAAAAAACAGCTAATACCTCACTAGTCATAAGACCATTTATTGGGCTGGGCACCATGGCATAGTAGGCTTAGCCTCTGCCTGTGGCGGCAACTTCTCACATGTCCCATGTGGGGATCCAGCTCCTTGCTCATGGCCTGGGAAAGCAGTGGAGGGTGGCTCAGATTCTTGGTACTCTGCACCCATGTGAGAGACCCAGAAGCTCTTGGCTTTGAATCAGCTCAACTCCAGTTTTGAGGCCATTTGGGAGGTGAACTGTGGATAAAAGAATTCTCTTCTTCCCTCTCCTTCCTTCCCTGCCTCTCCTTCTCCCTCTCTCTGCTTCTTCCTGTAACTCTGCCTTGCAAATAATCTCTTCATAAAATTTAAATGGTCAGTATCTGTATCTTAGTAATTCTAAATTTCAGCTTATTTGGACCATGTCTTAGAATTTTAGTGCTGGATTTGTAGATGGATCTTATGAACCCAACTAGATAATTAGTCAGGTTGTTTTAAAAGTCAGGTTCTGGACACTCCATCAAAGCTGTCACTTCAAGCAGAAACATTTACTCGCAGGAGTTAATGTTTAGCTCATTTAATTCTCTGCACAGCTGTGAGGGACACATTTGGCTCCCGTAAGATGTGTCTGCCTCCGGAATGCACGTGTATCTTCTCTCTTATGTGTTTTCAAAATTCTTATTTCTCTGTCACAGAAAGTTATGAAGGCATCAAGATAGTGCTGGTTTTAGTTGACTCAGTTGCATCACGTGTGCCAAGTCTCCTTGCTAAGTCATGCCTGAGAAGCATATATTCAAAAGAAAGACAAGATGAATTGAAGCAGTTCCTGTACTGATTTCATTGTAGTGACCTACAATAAAATCAATTTCAGACCAGGCCCTTCCTGTTTTTTCTAAGTACAATAGCTGAAAAATATGGGAGAATTTTCCATAAACTTCCTTTTTATTTTTTAGTCTCCTCCTACCTCCCAGTTAGGAGTCTCATTCTTCTCTGAATGGAAAAAAAAAAATATGCTTGTGTACAGTTAGATGCTGCTGCTGAGTTGACTGTAAATGCATGGGGAGAGAAGAGGCAGAATGCTTCATTGCACATCGCAGTCAGAAAAACTCTGGTAAAAATACTCTTAAGTGTACTTAGTTGACCTAAAATAGAGCTTTCAGTTGCTGATTTGGTGTCTTATCCCAAGTCCAATGCCCTAATATGATTAACAACATTTGGTTAGAAATTTTTCAGAATACTTTCCTAAGAAAAAAGAACTCAAAATGCATAGAACTTGAATGCTTCAACTTAACTTTTAACTGGTTTTTTCATACATACTTCATACATTTTCATACATTTTCATACCCTCTCCCCCAGTCATAGGTTATTTTCAGCTAAAGCCACGTATGTATTCTGATGCTCATTTAAACTTTTCAGCTTTTTTTTTTCTGGAGACCAATTTTTTAAGTTAAAATATGTTTTTCTCCTTGGAATTGTATCTCAGTTTCAAATTATAAAATAAGTTTCCTTAATACATAGCAAACTCACTCAAGAAGCAGATCTGAGGGCCCGGCGCGGTGACACAGTGGTTAAGGTCCTCGCCTTGCATGCCTGAGATCCCATATGGGTGCCGGTTCTATCCCAGCAGCCCCGCTTCACTTCCAGCTCCCTGCCTGTGGCCTGGGAAAGCAGTCGAGGACGGCCAAAAGCTTTGGGACCCTGCACCGCGTGGGAGACCCGGAAGAGGCTCCTGGCTTCGGATCAGCATAGCATCGGCCCGTTGCGCTCACTTGGGGAGTGAATCATCGGACGGAAGATCATCCTCTCTGTCTCTCCTCTTTGTATATCCGCCTTTCCAATAAAAAAATAATAAAAATACATTTTTAAAAAATAAAAAGAAACAGATCTGGGATCATCTCAGATGAAGTTTCTTTGGAGATCCCTCCAAGTGAACTGCTGATCTTGGAACCCTAACCATCAAGAGACTGTCAGCCAGTGGAATAGGTTTCATTGCGATTGGAACTGTGAGATTGGCAGCAATCCAGAACTGATGAACTATCAAAACTGTTTGAGCAGGACCCTCGGAGTGCACCTCCTGTTCAGGATCGGGGATGGGTGGGAGGTTAGGTGGGGCTTTTCCCTTTGTCACTCCCCTAACCCCAGATACAGGGAAAAATGATAATATTAGTGTGGAAACAATGGCATTACCCACTTTCACCCTGTAGCCCTTGACCCTTTGTACCCTAATCAACTAAGATTATTAAAATTAATAAAAAAAGAAAAAAAGAAAAGCACCTTACACTTAGTAGTAGTTAAAATTGAGAAAAAAAGCTTATATATTTAAATTTTTACCTTCTAAAAAAAATTCCTTAGTACAATTAGATTTCATCTTAACAGGAATGTTTTGGTGAATTTAAAGTTCACTTTAAAAGTTCAGTATGTTCAGAAACCATCAAGGATGGCATTCATGTTCTTGAAACTTCCCTCCAGAAGAGGTCTTGTTAGGGGAACAATATTGCTCCTAAACCAAGCACTTTGAGAAGCATGAAGTACCGGAAAGGTGCCACTTGTTATGGCTGTTGGCTTATTTTTTGTATTGGGCATTTATTGAGGAAGTTGAGGGTATAATGAATAAATACCTAGTGACTTACTGAGGTCAAATTGTTATTTTCAGTACTTTATAAAGAAAAATTTCAGTGTTCGGATGCAGAAATAACCATGGACAGGTGATTTGCATGGAAAAGAGTTACCTTGTGAAAGACCTGCAAGCTTTTTTTTCCTTCAGATTTCTTTGTATGTATTTGAAAAACAAAATTAAAGAAAGAGAAGGTGTGTGTGTGTGTGTGTGTGTGTGTGTGTGTGTGAGAGAGAGAGAGAGAGAGAGAAAGAAAGAAAGTAGAAAGAAAGAGAGAGTGAGTCTACCTATCTGCTGGTTCACTCTCCAAATGGCCATAGTAGTTAGGACTGGGCCAGATTGAAGTCAGGAGCCAGGAGCTTCCCCTGGGTCTCCCATGTGGTTGCAGGCTGCTTTCTGCTGGATCAGAAATGGAGCTGCAGAAACTTTACTTGCTGCGTTCCAAAGGTGGCCCCAGCATCTGTGTTTAGAAGTGTTGAAGACTCGCCATGACACTGTTCAGCCTCTGACAGGTGGGACAGAATCACTGTAAGATGGCGGAGTCATGGCTGACCGGAAATCCTGGGGTTCCTGGTGGCGTCCAGCGTATCTGGCTGCTGGCATGTTTCTGTGCTTTCTGTCACCCAGCCAGTCCTGCCAAGCAATTGAGAAGTTGCCTGCAATCTTTTTGTCTTGTGTAAGAAAAATTTTACTTAGTTTTACTTTACAAATATGGGCAACAGCTGTCTTTCACAAAAATTTGTTATTCTAACGTTTGACACTGCCTGACCCCATCCTGTCTTAATTTGCTGTAAAAGTCTCTTCTTGTCTTTTTTCCTCCTATCTGCTTATAGATGTGGAACATGTCACTTTAAGTTTTTCTAGTTGTGTGTGCTCATTTATGTGTGACTGTGTCAGTTCATTCTCATTTTAATATTGACATTGGATAATTAACTTAAAAATATTCTCTCTCTCTTTTTTTTTTGGTAAAATATTTGTGATAACAAGTGAGTGAATAAACTACCTGTAACAGGTTCTTTCTTTCTCCCTGTATCTTGATTTTGTTTAGCATATAGATTGGTAAACTCCAGGAACATGCTTTTATGATAGTCTGTATTCATGTCTGTACTGTATGTGCTTTATTTGATCTGTACTGAAACTTATTCCTGTATAATTAGCGCCTGTTCAGTGTTACAAATATCTTAGTATATGCCTTTGTTTCTTTCCCTGAATAAATTGCCATACTGAATACTGCATCTTTTCATTCCTTATTCCTTCTTCTTGATAACTTGGCAGTCATTTTGGAAAAAGAATTCAAGTATTGCATTACTGACACTTCATTGTCTGTTTATATGCTGAAGTAAAGGGGAAGATTAATGTATTTGGAGTGCTATATTCCTACTTAGAGTTATCTTTTATTGAGCATATAATAGTTGAGACGTATGCTAAAATTCCTCATTTTAAAATTGATGAATATGAGACCCTAGAGAGCATATGTACATTGACCAGTTTTATATAGTTTGGAGGAACTGAAGATAGAAATCACATGTAGGTGTGCCAAATTATTCTCAATGAGTCTTGACCTAAAATCTTTGGGAAAACTTGTTTTAAAAGTGAATTTCCCAATAATTTTAATGTGTCTATGAACTATATATGACAGAGGCTTTAAAAAAAAGTCTAATGTAAACATAATGCACAAAT